TCATCATCGCTGGACACATAGAACAGGGAACCACTAGCTCCAGAGCTACAGAGTTCAATCAGCGGCTCACTACAGAGGGAGTACTGGGGCAAAGACTGAGACGCATTAGAGCCTTGCCCAACACAAAAATCAACTACAGATGCAATTCTTTCCTAAATAAAAACCAGAGCGAGACTATGGAGAAAAGGGGCCTTCCCTTGCAAATATCCCTCTGATACTGGCGTCACAGGGTCCTGATATCCAGAAGCTTACCAGGTAATCATCAGGTCGGATACCAAATAGCTCCCGAAAGTAGCGGAAGGCAACAGGTGCATAGGTCTTGAAACGAAAGTCATTGTAGTGATGAGCAGGGGTCAGGTTGCTTCCTTCACTGTGGGGTTAAACAGAAATAGCAATAATGTGTCAGTACCTATCATCCAGAGAATCTACCTTGCGAAGACACTCAGAGTCACCTAATGGTAGGGGGAGTGGAGGAATACATTTCTCCCAAGAGACGCAGAGCACTCAGATGAGCTACTTAGTGAGAGAACGGCACAGGATGGACAGCAAGACAAAAAAAAGAATCACAGCAGGGTATAATCCCACCTAGAATCCCAGCACTTTGGGAGGCCAAGGAGGGAGGATCATGAGGTCAAGAGATCGAGACCATCCTGACCAACAAGGTGAAACCCCGTCTCTACTAAAATTAAATAAATAAATAAATAAATTAGCTGGGCGTGGTGGTGTGCCCTTGTAGTCCTAGCTACTCAGGAGGCTGAGGCGGAAGAATTATTTGAACTGGGAAGCAGAGGTTGCAGTGAGCTGAGATTGCACCACTACACCACTCCTGCCTGGTATCAGAGAGACTCCGTCTCAATTAAAAAAAAAAAGAAGGAATCACTCTGCCTGCTATCCAATGCATTAGGTGGTTTTTTTGTTTTTTATGGGTCTCTCCATAGGCCAGAGGCTCATGGAAGCATCTAGAAGATAGCATCTACTCTCCAAACTAAGAACTGGACACTTGCTCATGCATGGCTACGAAAAAAAAAAAAAAAAAGAATTGGACGCACGCCTAAACTGTCAGACCTGAACCCCTAAAACTGCCATGGGGCTGATTTGAAAAGGCCACATTTCCAGGACACGCTTTTGAACATTAAACTCTGTACCTGGGGAAGAAGATACTCTCCACCACGTAGAAATCTTGCATGAGGACATCTCGCTCTGGTTTAGTACTCAGGCTCCCCACAGTGTGAGTAATGCCTAACTGGATGGCACCTTTCAAGGCTGATGAGGTTGTCTAAGAAACAAAGAGAAATGAGAAGAAAGCTTCTAGTATAAATAGGACCACAGCAATAAAATTCAGAAGGGAGAAGCTAGAAGGAGAAACACTTTAAAACAAATGGCCAGCCGAGCACGGTGGCTCACTCCTGTAATCTCAGCACTTTGGGAGGCCAAATAGGAGGATCCAAACGGGAGGATCACCTGAGCTCAGGAATTCAAGACCAGCATTGGCAACATAGCAAGACCTTATTTATCTCCACCAAAAATTTATAAAAATTAGGTAGGCGCAGTGGCTCACGCCTGTAATCCCAGCACTATGGGAGGCAGAGGAAGGCAGATCACAAAGTCAGGAGTTTGAGACCAGCCTGATCAACATGGTGAAACCCTGTATCTACTAAAAAACAAAAAATTAGCCAGGCGTGGTGGTGTGCGCCTGTAATCCCAGCTACTCAGGAGGCTGAGACAGGAGAACTGCTTAAACCTGGGAGGCACAGGCTGCAGTGAGCCAAGATTGCCAAGACTACGCCACTGCACTCCAGCCTGGGTGACAGAGCCAGATTCCATCTAAAAAAAAAATAATAATAATGAACAAAAATCAATAAATAAAAATTAGCCAGGCGTGGTGGTGTGTGCCTTCAGTCCCAACTATGCAGGAGGCTGGGGTGAAAGGATCACTTGAACCTGGGAGATCAACGATACTTAGAACAAACAAAACCTCTTTTACCATAGAGAAGCAAAAGAAATGGGGTGAAAAGCACAAAACTGAACTACAGTCTTAAGACAGAAGTGCTGACACTGTTTTACCCTGCTGAAGACAGCCTCCCCAGCCTTGTCCAGAAGCAGGCAGCACAGGTGGAGAGTGCTTCTCTCTCCCTTACCATGTAGTATCCTGGAAGCAGCTTCTGCAGAAACTCCGCCTCTTTATGTTGAACTGTCTTAATAATGAATTCATCATCGCTGGACACATAGAACAGGGAACCACTAGCTCCAGAGCTACAGAGTTCAATCAGCGGCTCACTACAGAGGGAGTACTGGGGCAAAGAGAGAAGAGCATAAGAGAC